TACTTAGACGTTTTGCTGTACAATCTGACATCGTCTCCCCTGTCTGACCCCCGTCTCTCTCTCTCGTCTTCTCTTGCCCTGAAAAATGATTCCCAGCCCGTGATTGAATTTTATTCCTTCCTGACCAGGCCTGCTTTTATTACATAGACTCCATCAATCTTGGACTAACGCGACATTTGTTTATAGCTCTGGAATGAAATGAATGGCTTTATGAGCCTGATCATAATTAAGACTAAAGGCCTGGATTCATCTACACAATAATAAAATGTAGCGAAATGTACAGCTGAGAGCTACAAGTTGCCTCAAGAGCTAGCACTCCATAACAATCTGCTTTGGTGTGTGTGGGAAAGGTATGATACCGGCGCATACATCACAATGTTTAATTAAGTTATTATCGCCCATTAATACACCCCTTACCTCTAGTTTTGTTAATGGCTGATTTATGTACTCAGCTCAATAAGATATGATGAGCAAACATTGTATATTTAATCTATTGATTAATTGACCATCTGACATTTGTGTGGGAAGGTTGGTAAGTCAGGCAATCAAATCGTCTGTGCTTCAAACTAAATACCTAGCTTAGATGCAATTGTATAGGTATTTGGGCTGACTGGGATTTCATTTAAGAATCAATCTTTAAATGTGTGAATAGCCACTTCAATCATCCGATCATGTGAAAAGCATCTGTACATGATTAGGTGTTCAAGCGGAACAGGAATTTGTTTTTTTGCTGATTGGATAATTAAAATGAAGATTCATCCAATTTTGGAGTGAAGATTCTCAACTGCTTTAGTAAACCAGCGTCATTGTAGCGCTTGATTTCACATGACGTTTCTTCGCATTTTCCTCCTTACCAGTGACAACGCACATAGACGATTTGTTTTGTCCCTAGCTCTGGTTGCTTGGGGTCTAGAAGGGTTTGTTCTCTTAGACGTGGCTGGAAGTAAATGATTACTAGATCACTATGCAGTGCCCCAGATACAGAGCTCGTGACTGGCAGACACAGTGCCATGGCACCCACATCTAACCAGTTTGCTTATAGAGTGCCTCCGCCGCTGTGCCTTCTGTCCTACAAGCAGGGTGCTTTGTTACTAATTGCTACAGACAGACCTGCTTACTTGTTCCTGTGCCAGTTTATTTACATGATTATGTAAACAAGTATGAGAAATTGTAACCTTAAAAAAAAACACAGGGCGCAGGTTCCACGGGACTGTCCAGGTTAGTTCATCGCTCCTAGGTATGCGCCGTGTTGAATTGTAATTGCTTAATAACGCATTACCACCTTCTATTCCAAGTGAGGAAATACAAGGGCTATGACAATGGCATTAACTCACACATATGCCAGGAATGAGATCTCTGCCGCCCAAATAATCTGACATTCGTTGTCTGTGTTGCATTCCTGCATTATAGAAGCTGCTTTATTCTGAATAATAGCCAACTGATACAAGGGCTGTGTCCACCTCTTTTCTCCTATCTGGGGAAAGCATTGCTCTGCAATGGAGAGAGACCGCCTTTGTGACTTTTTATTGCTGTTTTTGATTGCTATAAATCAGAAGAGAAGTTTATCAGCGAGGATTATAGACCGCATAGTCCTAGAAGGCAATAGCATGAATTGCTCTGACACGCATACCATCATAACTAGACGTGGCAATTTCTCCCATCCAATAATATGGAGTGAATTACACTGAATGAACTCATGACACATTGTCCTCTTCACAAAGTGCACTTCTAGGTCTATCTCATTCTGAGTGGTTTGGGCTGGCCAACAAAGCCCTGTCAGTGATAAGAATACTATGACACAGGTATTGTAGTAGAATGCACCAAGGTGTAAATAATGTACAATGCAGACATAGAGCACAGGGCTCTGCACATCCACCTATTGTCAGCTCGTATGTGTCAGGGGGATCTCTCTCCCCCCGGCTGGTAAAAGGATCATCCGCCCAGCGCTGTGTGTTATTTGGTTATAATTAGTCATGCTCCTCAGATGTTTGTCTTGCCTATTTCACACACACAACATCCCATCCCACTGAATGATGAGAACTATCAGGAGACCCAGGACAAAACCACAATCCTGTGCATTGCCAATCATACACAATACATAACAGCAGCCTGAACCTGCAATTTATACTCATCCATTCAGCATAGGGTCTGTAACGCCGTGTACATACAGGACACACACAAACACATTGCTCTATCTATTCATCTAGAATTAACTCATTTATCACCACCATATCTAAACCATGCATTCAAACATTTATAGTCAAATCAGTTATCGGCCACCTTGAAATAAAATATGCCCTAAAATGTTACAATTCATCCGATATTCCGTTTACTGTCATTATTAATGTGGTATTTTCTGTACAAGCGGCGATGAGAAAAGATGCAGATTCGGTAGGTCTGATTTACTAACAGAGTTGAGAATCTTCACAGAATACATTGTGTGAATATTCACTTCAATTATTCAGTCATATGCAGAGGAAATAAGTAAACAGGAGTTTGTATTTCATATGAATGGATAACTAAAGTGAATCTTCACTTGTAATTCTTAACTCTTTTCGTAAATCAGCCCCAATATCTATCTATCTATCTATCTATCTATCTATCTATCTATCTATCTATCTATCTATCTATCTATCTATCTATCTATCTATCTACCTATCTACCATTATGCATTTATTACATGTTTTTGCAATAGGAAAAATACACTCACAACTGTTGATTTATCTAACTTCTCTTACTTAAAAAAGCTCTGTCCATTGTTAATTATATAGGGATTTTGCCACATTTGCTAAGACATGAATAAGGCACCCCAGGAATACACAAAATCCTCCCATTTAGACGTCTAGACTTTCATTCAATCGTTTAGCAAAAATAAGGAGGATTTTGCGTCTAATCATTTGCAAATAGTTCTTACAGTAAAGAATCCGAAAATAAAATAAAATCTATGCTAAAGGCAAGGCGCAGAACAAGATTGTACTTTTTTTTATTCCATTGTGACGTATAAAAACACTACACGGGGCAGGCCCATGAGCCAGCAGTGCCACCATTTGCCTACTGGCCACAAATGCCAAATATCCCCGAATCAGTCTTCCCCTGTCAAGTCATTCCCAGTACCACCAGTTCAGCAGGAATACCTCCCTCCATAATCCCCCAGGACTTTATCCATTAAAAAAAAAAAACTAAAACAAAACATTAAATACGCTTCTAAGAAACAGGTAAGACATAATAAAGCATTAGGCCTACACACAGTTTACCTTATCCAGTATTAGTAAATGTGTATCAAACATGGAAGAGCTTGGCTCAGAATGTAGAGGTTTGAGAAAAAATGTAAGCCTAATAAATATCAAATGATACTAAGAATTATTATTATTATTTATTATTATTATCATCATCATCAGTTCAGCTATTATTAGTTATTTTATATAAATAACTTATACCACATTTAAATAAATATAATTTGTTTTTCTCTCCTGCATGAACACAACCATAGCGGGCCTTGTAATAATAAAGTTTAACACAAAACACATGTAACATACATAAATGCGTTTTCTAATATTCTAAATATATTTGACCTGAATATACAAGCGTATCGCCAGAAGAGATTTTCCGCCTTTAACAAGCGGCAATTTATTAGCAATAACCATTACCGATCAACTCTGACAACGAGCCATAACAATTACTCTAAAGTGCCCCCTTCTAGATAAAGGAGCCTGATTACTCCCAGCTTTATCTAAAGCGTCAGCCGAGGCCTAGCTGTCTGTAATCAGCTAATCATCTTTCAAATACTGATTGACAGGGCGGATCACTGGAAGCTAATGAATTTATTGCATTTCCTGATATATCAGTACAGGAGGAGGGGATGTACACTGCCTCAGGTTTCTACCTTGTAAATTAAGGTAAGCGATAGCATGAATATATCCTAGCTGACAAGAAGTAGGCAAGGGCTGGAGTCCTCTTGTAAAAACAGAGAAAATGTATCAGCACGTCCCCACCTACTTCAAACACTACCAGAGAGATTTTCACACAATAACAAGAGATACTTGTATCTTTTTATCAAATTCCTCCCACTACTAGCACTGCACATAAATAACCGTAGCTGTTAGAACGTGGGGATGTTCGCTCAATTCATTTATAATTTATACATGCACACACATGTGTGTGTATATATATATATATATATCGTTTAAATTATATATGAAAATATAAATATATGAATGAATATATTTTTTTTTTAGATAGATAAATAGATATATATATACACACTTTTAAATAGTTGTATAATAATACCAAAAGAATTTACAAACTACATTCAATGAATTTATGCATTTAAAACTGGTGATAACTAATGACTAACTATATTGCAGCTTTAACAGCGTAACAAAGATACATCTGTGTCATGGAATATTATTATGAAGGGGTCACGTCCCCTCTACAAATGATTTCGTGTAAATAAAAGAATATGACTATGCACTGCATTAGCCAGAGACGGTGATATACTTTTTTTTAAAAAACCAGCAGACGTCGTTATCATTTAAACCGATTGGTCATTTATTAGGAAACAAACAATACTACTATGCCTTCAAAATATTTTCAACAGAAAAAAAATAAAACAAACCGATAAAATAAATGGGGTACAATTCCCTTTTTTTGCAATGAAAACACAAGCGTTCAAACAAGCTGTTAGACAACACTGTCTGGTTTTGGTCCTCATTATTCCATGTACAACTTTTAAAAATAAATTACTATATTGCAATTTACATCTTAGAACAAGTTCATAAAAAGCTTGCATTATATATGCTCTTTAACATATGGAAATAGGATACCTTACAAAATGGGATCTCTCAGAACAATGGGAACTTACGTGTTGTTTGCAAAAATTGTAACACTGTCCCTTTAGAACCCTGCACATTCTGAGTCTCTGTACAAAGCTATGCTTTAATTAATAAGCTTTTGGATGGAAGTTTGGAGATCTTTCTTATTCACTTACAAGCCCCCTTTGTGTCTAATGAGCAATAGATATAAGTTTTATGTGGCAGTTGTGATAGGTTGGGGTCAGAACTTGCTGCAGTCATACACAAAGGCCCCTGATGTGCGGTACAGAGACTGACTGGAAGGAAAGGACATCTGACAGCTGCTATTACCGTTCACAGGGGAGTTGTTCAAGCCAATTCTCTGCGACTCGAACATCTCTCGCACAGAGTGGAAGTTCTGCTGCTGTCCTGGGTAGGTGGCCCCAGTTAGGTGGCCCAGATCCCCCGACTGATTCAAGTACCATGATGGGAGCCTGCTTTGGTGTGGATGGTCCTGTCCAGAGCTCAGGCTGCCATGACTGAGAGCAGAGGTGGTCGTGGTGGTGATGGAATAATCGGGTAATGTTTCTTCCACTGTAGTAGCTGCCGGGGTATTGGTGGGGGTCAAGTGACCAGACCTGTCCCCAGAATAAAGACTCATGGCTTGCATGTTACAGTGATAGGTCCCTGCAGAGCTGGCAGCATTGGTGCTCTGGCTGCATGGCGAGCTGTAGATGGAGCCCTGGCCTGGAGAATAGCTTAAAGAGAGAGATGGAGCGATTCCTGTCCTGGAAGGGGCGATCAGGCTAGTGGCCAGTTCCCCAGAACCTTGCGGAGATCCTCTGAGGGAGGTCATGATGTTGTCCACGCTGAAGCCCTGGCTGTGATGCTGCTGGTGAGGGTGGTGGGACTCTACAGCTTCCAGACTCATGGACCTGCTGGACGGGATGCTGTGCGGGCTTCCACTGGACATACTGCTGCTATCAGGGCTCTCGATCTTGGGCACCGTACTGAGGGCAGGCGACATGGCCTGGGGAGGAGAAGAGGTACCATTTTCGGTCTTTATATCCTGGATCCTGATTGGCTGGCTGCTGCTGTCTTGCTCCCCTTGAGCTTGCTGAGACTGTCGCTGGGACTGGCCAGAAGGTTCCTTCAGGAGCCGGTCCTTCTCGTCTTTGGCCCCATCTTTGCTCACATCCTTTTTCTTGAACCTTCTCCTCCGCCTCAGGAAACTGCCATTCTCAAACATGTTGTAAGAGTCAGGGTCCAAAGTCCAGTAACTGCCTTTTCCTGGCTTTTTGTCGTCCCTAGGAACCTTGACAAAGCATTCGTTGAGAGACAGGTTGTGTCTGATGCTGTTCTGCCAACCCTGCTTGTTGTCTCTGTAAAATGGAAACCTTTCCATGATGAACTGGTAGATGCCATTTAGAGTGATCTTCTTGTCAGGGGCGTTCTGGATGGCCATGGTGATCAGGGCAATGTAACTGTAGGGAGGCTTCACCATGTCCTTAGGCTGAGGCTGGGGAGTGTAAGGCCCGTAGGCTCTGGCCATGCCGGCCTGATACTGTTCATGGGCCGGGTGGGAGTACATACTCATAGGGGCAGGCATGCCAGTGTAGCCCCCACCAGCTGCCGCTGCAGCAGCTGCTGCTCTGTAATAGCCTTGCTCCGCTCCAAGATATGGCACTACACCCAGGGAGTTGGGGCTGGACACTGAGTAACGCGCTTGCATGGTTGGCCAAGCACGCCACCGATCAGGAGATAGAGCTGAGATGTCAGGATGCGATCTCTAGCATTCAGTATCCACAGTGTTAAGTCCAGATAGCAATATCCAGAAGGAAGAATGAAGAAGAACACACGGCTCCCTCCCAGAATCTTGATCCCAGGCCCAGAGCACAGCGGACAGGTCAACTCATAGAGGCACACACATAGAACGACACGGATCGTCTACCTCTGCAATCTTAGTGTCCTTGCTTGGATGGACGAAGAGTTGATCCTGCTTCCGTCTTCAGATAGTCGGGTGTGATCCTCAATCCTCAGTGCTCCGAATCAGACTAAGCGACCTGCAAGCAGCACGCGTGTCCCAATGATCACAGGGGCCCCTCGATCTCGTCCCAGTGTTTGGGGTGGGGGGAGCCGGGGAGCAGCTCTCACTCTCTCCCTGGCTGGGGCAGCATTGGAAAAACTTCTGAACTTTTGAGCATCCGTCAGCAGGCAGGGACTTTTTTACAGAGCAGCTATAGCCCCGCCCACTCGAGCCGAACCCTCCAATCGGAGAGCAGATCTTGGCCCGTGAATGGAAAAAACACAGACAGCTCACACATTCACCGGGGGCCAGGCAGCTCCGGCAGCAGCAGCTAGAGCTGGATTTCAGGCACTGACCACACACTCTGCTCCTCTCTAATGGATCCACCCAGCACCCCACTGCCCTCACACACTGAGCCCACATGCAGTCACCTCTGTGCACCACTCATCACACCCAGGACGAGGGAAGAAAGGCTCTCTGTAAATGTACATCGATAACAACTTGCCTGCACATCAACAAAAACTTTCTATGAATGTATCTAGATTAGACCATGACAGGTATTTCCACATACAAAACTTTTGATGAGGTCATTTTATTTGTCGGTTGTAGATACGCAATGAGTAAAGGGTACAACATTTTGAAAATCCAAGATCCCATTTCTTAGCCATCACATCACAATGATCTCTTTATGCCCTCGGTGTATGGAAATATGTATGTGAGATGTATTATTACCTATGTCTCCAGTGCTCATTGCTATGTGTGTTTCTTAAAGCTACACACCCAGATGACTGCGTTTTTTGTTGTAAGCCCATAGCCGAGGTGTGGATATCTAGGTGAGAAGATGTTGCAGCTTACTCAAATATGTAAGAAACGAGTCAACCAACCCTATAAAAAAAATCCACCTCCCACTATAAAATAACAAAAAAAAAGCTGGATGACCAAGCCTGGTGAAGGGCCACTATTCACGCACTTGACAAGAGACTGACGTGTGCTAGAGCTGCACCCATCACCAAACTGCACTTCAATGGCTTTATGTGAGATGTGCTAACAATCCTCTCCTTGCATTGATGCATAACAATCGCCATTTGGCCACTAAATTGAGAAGCCAGCCATGCACCGGTTTCTGCATATGAAATGGTAGTATTCATGTGGACGAACATCAGTCGTGACCATATGCCCAGATGGCCCCCAACTGAGCAAGTGATCAGACATTCATTAATACGTTCACTATTTGCAGTGGATGGGTGCATTTGTGGGTGCTCTCAATGTACCATGCATGAAGAGCCCGTTTGCAGAAAATCTCATTAAACCAATTATAGCTAAGTGAGAAAAGTACTGGACACTTGCTAAACTGTTTTGTATATCATGGATTTCACACCAGCCCATTTAAGCTAAAGAAAGGTCGCTTTGTAGAGAACGGGGTGTCAAGGAACTTTTGGCCTCATTAAGTCCATTCCGCTCTATTCTCACCTGCCTGTGACTTGCTGAAAATCAAAGCAAGCGAAGAGTGTGTGTGTGTGTGTGCCACCTTCTGTGGGGTCACTGGTGTGGGAGGTGGGCAGTTCACCCAGGTAATGACAGGGTTAAGGTGAAGGGTCCACATAGCTCTGGCTGAATGTATTATACAAATGTTTGTTTGTCTTCAGACCTTTCCCCAACACATAAAATCTGACACCTGTTAAGACAGCAGTGCTAAATACCCTTAAAGAGTTTGACATTCCTCTGCTTAGGGACTTTCTCTATTATCTCACATGCCCTCCAAAGGACATCACCAGGGCTTGTGCCAATGTATGTGTGTTCATATCAGCCAAATAAAGCACAGAGACTTTCGTGTGAAGATAGATGTTGCTGCTTCTACTACCGCCACTACTAATAATAATAACAACAACAACAATATAAAAACTAAAAATAATCTCGTGTTTCCAAAAGCCACATCCATTCTGCCTGTAGGCAAGGTCATGAAATAGCAGAGAATACGGAATACAACTTCCTCTCACCCCCTACAAAAGAAATACATGGAATACTGTACCTTTCACTACTTCATTTAGTGATTGGTGAGTTTAATCTCTTTTGTACATTTGTAACATAACCAATCTTATAAAAAATGCATTGCTGTGCAATAAACTAGCTTTGTCAGAAGTATTTTAGGTACTGATTTTTTTTAAAAATAAATCTAATGTAGCCTGTGCCCAAATATAATCCGACGGAGGGAAATTCCACAGAATTCTCTGTAGAAATAATTGGAGATCTTCATTTTAATTGTAGAGCTTTATTATTAAGAAACATTCAATTAGTCTGGTATCATTGCTATGCGCTGTGATGATAAAGTGGTCATTTGTTTTAGGTTACCTATAAATGATGTTCGGTTTTCACAACTTAAAAAACTCTATTTGTAAAATACTTTAACATTACGTGATATAGAAATAAAGCACCAAGGACAAAGTAACAGTATTTCATGTGTTACTTATTTGTGAATAGAATTAGGTTTGAGATGTACATAGCCCTGCTGCATATATATTTATATAGGCTGGTGCTTGATACAGGTGAAAGAAAAGTTCTCCATCCAGATTTTCCTTCCCAGAGACCTGCAGATGAACTTTTATTTGCCAGCCTGAGGCTGTTTATACTGAGCTAGATATTCACTTTTCACTCTGCTACCCCCTCTCTTAATAAACAGGCGGCTTACTCAGCCGCATTACCTCAGTGCTTGCTGTTGCTCCTGGCCAGGCTGGGAACAAGCAGGACTCAAGACAGAGGGGAGGTAGGAGACTTCTGTGACTGCAAATCCGGCTCCTCCAGACATTTCAATATATGCACGAAAGATTACAAAAACAGTAACAATATGGGAGAAAAATAACGTTTCTGGGTCATATTTTTAAACGCCACTTTCGATGACATGTAGGTGTTTTCAATGACCTAAGTTTATTGGTTAATGTGCAATTTGATTCAAAATAATACAGTAACTGTGGCATTGCATTTTTCATTTGCAATACATATAAAAACATATATATATA